CAAAAATTGAAAACTGGGTAACTAAAATAAAAACATAAGAGACAGGAAATAAAACCCAAAACATCCCAGAAGGGAGAGGAAAAATGATAGAAAATAGGATATAAACAGGTAACACTACAGAATCAGCCCACGAGGTCCAACATCCAACTAAGAGGTTTTTTTTTAATTGAAAGGACCCAGAAAAATGGAAGGAAGAGAAATATACCAAGGCATATTATTATGACATTTCAGACTAACAATGATAGAAAAAACTACCAGAATGTATCTAGAGAGAGAAACCAAGTTACTTACAAGGACAAAGAAAGAGGGCATTAGATTTCTTAAAAGCAGGCCTAAGAAGCTAAAAATCAACGAAGTAATCATTTTTAAAACCTGGATGAAAATTCTCTACCACCTGAAAGTTATTCAAATTACCAATCAAATGTAAAGGTGAAAGATTTCTCTAGGCATTCCAACATCAATAAAAGACATTTTGCCATCAATGGAAGATACTTTCAGGCAGGCATTAGCTCAAAAAATTATTTTCCATGCATTTTTTCCTCAGAAACGGACCAGAAAACATGCTCCCGCCAAACAAGATTATAACCTGAGGAAGATAATGACATGAGCTTCAAAAAGCAGGATTTCCAGCAGAGAAGGTCAAGGGCTGGCTGAGATAGAAGGAGAGCTCTGGGTTTGGGTAGGGGACTGAGGCCAGGGTAGGACAACAATGTGCATGCAGGAAAAAAGTTAATACTAGTAGGTAAGTTAAAAAGGCAACTGTTAACTTCAGGAAAAATGAAGAACCATGGAAGAAGGGAAGGGTAGTCATATTACATCATTTGACCAGCAGGGACTATTTACAGAGTTAAAATATAAATCTTGATTCTCAAAGTAGCCAAAAGTTGTCATTAACAATGGCAGTCAAGGAAAGCAGTGGGGACTCCACCATGGCTAATAAATAATGCCTAAAGCTGCAAAATCAAGAACTAGCTATGAATAATTTACAAATATGAAAGTAAATCAGCAGGCAAAACAGTGACAAGGAGAACTGAAGGAACTACTTTGGTTAGGCCTTTGGTGCTACTGACTTTTGAAACTGCTTCTCGGGGCGCCTGGGTGGCTTAGTCGGTTAAGCGTCCAACTTTCGCTTAGGTCATGATCTCACGGTTCGTGGGTTCGAGCCCCGCGTCGGGCTCTGTGCTGACTGCCAGCTCAGAGCCTGGAGCCTGTTTCAGAGTCTGTGACTCCCTCTCTCTGACTCTCCCCTGCTCACGCTGTCTCTTGTCTCTCTCTCTCTCTCTCTCTCTCTCCTAGAAATTAAAAAAAAAAAAAAAAAATTAAAAAAAAGAAACTGCTTCTCTTGTTAAAAACACTTGAGAAGGGGCGCCTGGGTGGCTCAGTCAGTTAAGCAACTGCCTCTTGATTCCGGCTCGGGTCATGAGCTCGTGGTTTGTGGGTTCCAGCCCCACATGGGGCTCTGTGCTGACAGCGCAGAGCCTGCTTTGGATTCTTTCCCTTTCTCTTTTAATAAACTTAAAAAAGAAAAAAGATACTGTTTTAGATATATTAAATTTGAGATTCTTTATAGACATCCAAGTGAGCTATCAAGAAAAGATATTATTTGGCGGGGGGGGGGGGGGGGGGGGGGGGGGGGGCAGTCAGTTAAGCATCTGACTTTGGCTCAGGTAGTGATCTCCCAGTTCCCACATCTGGCTATCCAGTGTCAGCACAGAGCCCACTTTGGATCCTCTGTCTCCCTCTCTCTCTCTCTCTCTCTCTCTCAACTAAACATTCAAAAAAGAAAAGATAAGACAAGGAAAAACATTTGAGGTGCCTAAGTGGCTCTGTCGGTTGAGTGTCTGACTCTGGATTTCAAGCTTGAGTCATGATGGGTCATGGATCAGCACTAAGCGTCAGGCTCAGCACTAAGCATAGAGCCTGCTTCTGATTCTCAGTCTCTTTCCCTTCGCCCACTCCTCTCAAATTAAAAAAAATTTTTTTCTTAAGAGAAAACATTTGATGCATGAGCCCTGGGTGCAGGAAAAAATGAGCTAATCAATCTTAGTCATTAGGTACATTTAATATTTAAATTTCCAGGACTAGATAAGATACCGGAGGGAAAGAACAGAAGGAAAAAGGACTCGAAAATACATACCTGTATTATAATATAGAAATAGAAAATAGCATGTATTATCTCACAGAATAAAGGCAAGTACTGTCTATAAAGTTTTTATTTCAGAGACAGAAAGATGATAGTGAGATAGAAAAATGTATACAAGTAAACTGGCTGGTATATGTAATTTGTATACTTAGGAATGTACTGGGAATAACGTAAAATGTATTTCCTATCATAGACTGTGATCCAAAACCTTTAAGAAATTCTAGGGGATGAGATGGGGCGCCCGGGTGGCGTAGTTGGTTAAGCGTCCGACTTTCGCTCGGGTCATGATCTCGCGGTTGTGGGTTCGAGCCCCGCGTCGGGCTCTGTGCTGACTGCCAGCTCAGAGCCTGGAGCCTGTTTCAGTCTGTGACTCCCTCTCTCTCTGACCCTCCCCTGCTCACGCTGTCTCTCTCTCTCTCTCCTAGAAATAAATAAAACATTTAAAAAAAAAAAAAAAAAGAAATTCTAGGGGATGAGAAACTAGGAAAAAGATAAACAATTAGACACTATAGTAGGAAGAATACTACGAAAGTATAGTGTACAAAAGCCAAGAGAAATACTCCGTAAAAGGAATGCTCACCTGTATGGAATGAGTATGAGTTTAAATGCAATTAAAACTAAGTGACCAGTGACCATGGACTTGGTAATATGGAGACCATTTGTTCTTGACCTTCACAAGAGCCACTTCAGTGAATGGTGGTAGCGGGAAAACACTTTAGCGTGGATGAGAGACAAGAGAATACACACAACCAATACACACAAGAGAAAGAAATCCTCCCTAGGAACCTGAAATTTGAAAATCAGAATTCACTATGTGAAAGAGTCCTTCAGAGTTTTAAAAGTAGGTTATGAGTTTCTTGGGGCAGAATCACAGGTTTCTTATCTCCAATGTGATTGTATTTGGAGATAGGACCATTAGAAACTTAATTAAGGTTAAAAGAATTCATAAGGGTGAGGCCCTAATCCAATTCCACTGGCATTCTTACTAGAAAAGATTAGGGCACAGACACACGGAGGAAAGACCACGTGAGAACACATCGACAAGCCAAGGACAGAGGCCTCAGAAGAAATCAACCCTGCTGACACCTTGACCTTAGACTTCTAGCCTCTAGAACTCTAAGAACATAAGTTTCTGTCGTTCTTTTAATATATGTGGTGTTTTGTTACACGGCATCCCTGCAAATAATTCGAGGCTTGAGATTCTGAGTCTCAAGGGTCATCAGATCCTTCTGCCTCCACCCCAAACCTCCAACCCCCAGGTCCATCCCGAGCCAAAAAAAAAAATGAAGCTACTTCATCATTAACTCTCAATAAACTCTCAATTAACTCTCTCAATTTGAATTACTTCTTCTTCATAAACCTATTAGTTCTGGACCATTCCAATCAAAATAAGGCGTTCTTTTTACTTACCACACCTCACCTCTCATTCCATAATTTTTTTTCTGAAACCAAAGGCAAGGCATGTTTAGAAAAATGAGTAATAGCAAAGTTAAACAGCTGCTGGGTGCTGAGAGAGCAAATATGATGTAGCAGCAACTGGGAATTCTGATGCCCCAAATCAAGTTTGGCAAAAAGTCTACCCAAGGTTTTGTAGTCTGTGTGTCACACCACCACTACCAGGCAGCTCGCGCCTTCAGATTAGAAAAGAAAGCATATGCTTTCCTCTTTCCTCACGTGCAAACAAACCACACAGACCTGGTTTCCTTTACTTCCAGAATCTCACATATCTACAATTAGCCCCAAATCCTGACGTCACAAGCAGGAAACCGAGAAAGGCTTTTCAATTGTTTCATCATCAGAATAGAAAGGCTGTTAATTCTGGTTCCTTCCTAGAGGAGGAAAATTAAAAATATACACACAAGTATATAAACAGAAATACCTATGTAGGCATTTGCATGAGTGCACACATATCTTCTCCAAACACAGTTGATACTGAGCATTTAGTACACTAATCATGTAATGAATAAGCCCTATAGTATTTACTTGTATTTCTGCTCAATTATTGCATCAACCTGAACCCATTCTTCAGTATACTAGAATTATGAAAAATTAAATTCACTGACGTCGGGTTCTCAGTTGCTCCCCAAATTTTCACAACAGCTTAGCCACTACTGCTAAGAGACCTGTGGTTACCAGTTACTGTACATAAAGAAGTCAAGAAGATCTAAAATGAAGCTCCTATTACCCTGAGAAGAAAGTTTTATGGCCTCTCAACCCAAGAAAGTAAAAAAAAAAAAAAATCACAGCAAACAAAACAGCACCATTATTACAAAACTGAGAGTTAGGTTACCTGACCCTGGAAGTTTAATATAGCCGGTGGTTTTTTTTAAGTTCTGCCTGGCCTCAACATTTCTATCGGGAATCTAGTTTAAGCCTGAACTTGAAGTAAACAATTTCACGAGGGCTTCATACCCAACCCTGTCCCTTCCCCTTGATTCAATGAAGGAACGGAAAGTTCTCATAATCATCAGGGTCCGAGCATCAAAAAAAAAAAAAAAAAAAAGGAAAAGGAATAACCAATCACTTCACCTTCGAATACAGGCCAAGGTTAAAATCTGGGCAGACGGTGGTAAAGAATGGCAATCAAGAGCAGACGCTGCCCGAGCGGCAGTATCTGGTTTACCCCCGAGTCGGGATGCCCAGCCCTGGAACCTGTTCCTTCCCTCTCCAGGATGCCGGAGGGCCTGTCCTGGGTCAGGGGCACATCCCCCCTGAGCTAGGTGGGCAGCGGATGATTTTAAGCCACCGGTCCGTCCACGACACTTAGACAGACGCGAGACCAGACAGGCGAGCCGCCGAGCGGCGCGGGCGTGCGCACCGCCGTGTGGAACCGGCCCGCGGCGGATGCCCCACTCACCGCACACCATCAGCAGCAGGACGATCAGCAGCGTGACCACGAACACCAGCAGGGTCAGCCCGACGCTGTGCCACATCTTGGGGAGAGGACGGCGGTCGGAGCCGGGCTGCGGGGCGGCGGGCGCGGGCGGGCCGGCGGCGCGCGCTGGGCTTCAGCGGCGGGCGCCGGGGGCGGCGGAGCGCCGGGACGGCATGGGCGGCGGACGCCCCTCGGCAGCGCCCCCAGGGGGCGGGGCGGCGCGGCGCGGGGGCGGGCACCGCGGCCCGCCGGCCCGCCCGGCGGACCCTCCTTCGCTCCCCGGCCCGCGGAGCGCGCGAGGAGGCGCGACGCGGGACGGCTCTAGCCTCTCATCGCTCGGGGGAGCCGAGGACCCGGCGCCCGGAGACCCTGGCCGCCGCCGGCTGTGCTTCCATGGCGGACGCCGCGCGCCCGTGGGCGGGAGGACGAGCACGGGGACGCGCGGCGGCCACCCGGCCCTCGTCGTCGCCCGCCCGGGTGCGGGGGGGAGGGGGGATCCCTCGGCCGGCGCCGACGGCGGCTAACGTCTCCCAGCGGCGGCCGCGGCGTCTTCTCGACCCCAGTCCCCTCCCCCAGCAGCAGCTCGGCCCCGAGCACGCCCACCGCTCGCCTCCTCCGCGGCGCGGGGCCGGCTGGGAGATGGAGTGCGGAGCCCAGTGGAGGCTACCGGAGCTCGCCCGGCGGAGACTACAACTCCCAGAATGCACCGCCCATTCGGCAGCTTTGCTTCTCCCTCCCTGCCGTTCCCTGTGCCTTTGGTTTTTCGCGAGCCACCACCTCCGTCTATCAAGTGCGGGTTGGTGTTTTCTCGGAATCCGAGTAGTTGGCTGCCTCTCCTTCGCAGCGCCAGAGTGATTGCAACCGTTACTCCACAGTTGAAATCATTTCTGCTTAAAGCCATGATCGACGAAGCACGAAGAGGGGAAGAAAGCGGAGGCAGCTGCCTGGAAACCGGTTGCAAGTGGACCTAGCCCTACTGCTGGGAGTAAACGTTGGATACTTGGGATTTTGAGGAAAGACCCACGATCCGTGCCAGACAGGCGAGCCAGACGAATGGAATCTCCCTTTTGCTCCTGTAACAGATGTTGGTCTATGTTTTCATGAGTAATGTATTTCAGAAATGGTCCGCGAGGGACTTCATGTGCGTAGCCCTTAATGCACCTGAGTTGTAAATTTAATTCCGGGGCTTCCTTGAAACCGAGCGACCCGTGACCCAGAGCTGAAGCTATCCCTGCACTGTCTTGAACAAATCACTGTGAGGCAAGACCATTTCATAATCTCAAGCACTCTATCTCTACCTGCAATCAAAACCCCTCAGTTCCACCAGATTATATTCATTCGTTAGAGAAGCGCCCCCAGAAGAGAAATGTGTAGCCCACTTTTAGAGGATGCCATAAATAGCCTTCCCGTTTTCCTGCCACCCTGTGGCTGCCCTGCATACCTTTCCTTTCTACGAATTCCTTTCCTGTGCTCTCTGTCTCCAAAAACAAGCCAATAAAATCTGAGCAGAAATCTCTTGATTTAATAAATATATCTAGTTGGCCAAAAACTAAAAGAATACAAAATATATCCTGGCTATAACCCAGATGTCTCACTCTAACTGAATTCCCTAAGCAGCAGTATTATGAACAAATACTGCAAATGAAAATACGTTAAGGGATAATGATTTAGCGTTAGATTTAATACAGGGCTCCCCTGAAGAGAATGAATCCAGTGCAATTATGATGTATTGGCCAAAAAAAAAAAAAAAAACATGCTTTTTTTTAAATAGATGGCCCAATTCTGTTGCATAAATAAAACATTCTTTATGTGTTAAAATTCAGTTAAATAGTTGAAAATAACACAAGAACTAGAAGGATTTAAAGCTTTTTAATTTTCTCTTCCATTCCCATGTGTTGAATACGTAATAGATGCCAGGCACTCATGTAAATGCTGGCGATTCTGCAGTGAAAGAGAGAAGGTGTTTATGCTCAAGATGCTTATATTGGAAGATACAGACGATAAGCATCAATAGGGAAATCTCAAATCTCAAAATCTTGTAATGAAAAGGAGCAGGACAGTGGGATAAAGATAAGGGTGTGATTTTAGATTGGGGGGATCAGAGAAGGCCTATCAGAGTAAGTGACCTTTAATCTGAGACCTAAACGACAGGAAGGATCCAGCTATGGAAATACCTAAAGAGTGTACTAGGTAACAAGAGCAGCTAGTGCAAAAGCCACGAGGAGCAAACAGCCATTCCTCTAGACCTTGGTAGTATTTCTCAACCCTACACGCACATTCTGAATCACCTAAGGAGATTTAAAATTTACAAATGGCAGGACCAAAATGACTCAATCTCCAGAGATCAGTTCCAAGCATAGTACTTTTTAAAAGCTCCCTAGTGATTCTAATGTGTACCCATAGCTTACAATTGCTGTAAAGGTCTCAAGGAATAAGCCTCTGGACCACAGCATTAGCACTTGTTGGAAATCTGAGTTCTCAAGACCTACTCCAGCCAGACCTATTAACCCAAAACTCTGGGGGTAATCCCAGTGGGGAAAAAAAAAAAGTTTTATTGGATTAGGGTCATAATCGATGGAGTCAGAGAACAGTGGAAAGATTTGAGATATGTTTTATAAGGAGAATCACATCAGATTTGGCTGATAGATTAGATGTAAAAACAGATGAGGAAAAGAAATCAAATAGGACTTCTGGATTTGTAGCCTGAGCTTCTAAGTGAATGGCTGTGCCCTTTCTTGAAAGGTCATATGGTGCAGCCATCTCCCTAAAATGCTTTACGGACTCCTGTCTTTACAATCTGTAACTGGGGTGCTGGGTGGCTCAGTCGATTAAGCGTCTGACTTTGGCTCACGTCATGATCTCAACGGTTAATGGGTTTGAGCCCCGCGTCAGGCTCTGTGCTGACAGGTAGCTCAGAGCCTGGATCCTGTTTCAGATTCTGTGTCTCCCTCTCTCTCTGACCCTCCCCTGCTCACACTGTTTCTCTCTCTCTCAACTAAATAAAAAACATTAAAAATTTAAACAAACAAACAGTCTGTAACTGTCTAGGCAAAGGATTTGATTGGCGACTAGGGTGAAATCACACATCCAAGAACCAGTCTCTTAACTCTCAAAAGTCCAAAGGCTTTTCCACCAAACCATGCTGCCGTCTGTCTCATCATTTGCTGTATTAGCCTTGATCACATTTTCAACGATAAATTCTCTAAGGATTTTCAAGATAGGGTCTTGAGGTTACTCTTGAGCCACAGTCATTCCTGGAGTCCTCCTACTTCCTGTTCTCATCTCTATAAAATACTCTCCCCTCTTTTTAACCTCAAGCCTACTTATCCTTCGATGTCGATCCAATCCCTTCCTTAGTAAGAGACCTCCTGGTTTCCTATTCTAATCACTTGTCTGTCTAGCTCCCCGAAGCCAGTGGTTCGCAGCCTTACCTATACATTGGAGGTATCCAGGAAGTTTTAAGAAAAGATTCTCGGGTTTCATGTCAGACACATGAAAGGTGGGGAGGGGGATAGAGAGGGTCTGTCACTGTGTAATATTCTCTAGGTTTTGATGAGCAGTCAGCATCGAGAAACACTAGCATAAACTGTATTCAAAAATTACTTAGGTACTTATGATATTCCTTGGATTGCCTATACTATTGTTTAGTATTTCATGTATCCATATATAGTATTTAATATTTCACATATGCATATATATATTCTGACTCTTTTTTTTTTCTTCATTTTGAGAGACAGAGAGCGAGTGAGGGAGAGGCAGGGAGAGAGGGAGACACTTAATCTGAAGCAGGCTCCCGACTCTGAGCTGTCAGCACAGAGCCCGACGCGGGGCTTGAACCCACAGACTGTGAGATCATGACCTGAGCCGAAGTCGGACGCCCGGCCGACTGAGCCACCCAGGTGCCCCTATATATTCTGATTCTTAGAAGAGAACAGGTACTCCTCCTCTGCTATTTCCTTCCCTATGGGAGGAAGCTCAATTGGTAATAATAGGTCCAATGTCTCTGTGCTCTTTTATTCCCTGTGTCCCTGGTCCAGGGAGAAGTGACTTATCTAGCTGGTGCATTTAGGAGAAATAAAGTGGGTTTGCTGAGCTTGGCTCCTCCCACATTCCTCTTGGGCGTGAGCTGCCTTAAGCCTCATAACTACATAGGAATTCAGCATAGGGAGGGCCATACTAGTTCAGCATTGGCTCAACTTAGGGTTTAATTAGCAGGCCTGACCGGCTCTCACATTATTGTGCGTTCTCTGACTTAGTCTTTGTTATTATTAAAGGTTTGACCTCCATAGGTCTTACTGTGTCTTACTTTTTTTTTTAAATTTCTCAGTTGGACAACATTATTCATTGTTCCCCCTCAGCAATCCCATGCTGCTTTAAAAATAACTAAGAGGGGCGCCTGGGTGGCTTAGTCGGTTAAGCGTCCGACTTTCGCTTAGGTCATGATCTCGCGGTTCATGGGTTCGAGCCCCGCGTCGGGCTCTGTGCTGACTGCCAGCTCAGAGCCTGGAGCCTGTTTCAGTCTGTGACTCCCTCTCTCTCTGACCCTCCCCTGCTCACGCTGTCTCTCTCTCTCTCCTAGAAATAAATGAAACATTAAAATAAATAAATAAATAAATAAAATTAAAAAAACTAAGAGAAGGAGTCATGAGTTCAGCACTTATGTATTACCACATAGTAGGTGCTTGTCAGATATTGATTGGTCCAATTTTTTTATCTCTAAAGCATGGTGATAGGCCTGAATTTTAGTCATTTGATCTCTAAGTATTTTAGGAAGGATTATGCTAAATATGGGATGGATACAAAGTTACTACCATTCCCACCCTCAAGGAAAACCCAGTCCTAAAGTAAGGATTTACCAAATACTTCCTCCAGCCAGGCACTGTGCTTACTACTAGCAATAAAAAATAGAGTCAATATGGGGCGCCTAGGTGGCTCAATCAGTTAAGTTTCCAACTCTTGATTTCATCTCGGATCATGGTCTGACGGTTCATGAGATCAAGCCCCACATCAGGCTGTGCACTGACAGTGTGGAGCCTGCTTGGGATTCTCTCTCTCCCTCTCTCTCTCTCTCTCTGTTTGTCCCCTGCTCCTGTTCTCTCTCAAAATAAATAAAATAAACTTAAAAAAATAGATAAAATATGTACAC